TACTAATTAACACTTGGCATGTGTGTATGGGCTGGGGTGGGTGTGTCCAGAGTTTTGTGACATTGTGTTCAGTCTTCTAGTCTCTGGTGTTGTAAAAGGCAAAAGAGTCTAGTGTTTTGTGACTTTGTGTTTAGCCTTATACGGTCTTTGGTGTTGTAGAAGGCAAAGTGTGTGAAGTAGCACTATCAAACTCTTTTTATAGCAGAAATTAGGTATAAAGCTGGACTTAAATCCCTCTTCCCATTTGTACATTACTCAAAAAAAAAAAAAATGCAGTAGGACATAACCCACCCGATCGATTATTGATTCTATACTTAATTAGGATGAGGATATTTAAGAACTAGTTACGGATGTTGTTAGAGGTAGGGATAGGGAGATGGATATAGAGATGGATAGGGATATGTAGATGTAGAAGATGAATATTCTAGGGGGACGGGGGTTGATATTGTGGGTATTGACTGGCGCGTAATTTTCTAAACCTGGTTAGGTAGTACCTGTTATCTACGCACCCAATGACGTCACAACACGGGTACACTCATACATACATATACACACTCAAAAACCAATAGCACAATACAACTGTCACGCACACGCTCACATACAGAACACTCCTACACAGACACGTATGTACTGTGTGTACACTCATACGCTCACAAAAAACAATTGCACAATACAGTCTCACACACGTACATGCCCACACACAGAACACTCCTAAACAGGTGCTATGTAGTGTTGAGTCTACTTGAGTTACAAATCACAGATTCCTGTGTTGTATTGATCTAGCCTTTTCTCCTGTAATCTCTACCCCCTCTTCATTTAAACCTCCTAAAAATTCGTGTTATTCCTATGATAGGTTGATGGAGATGAAAACAAAAGCCGTTTGTGTTCCGTGACTCCTTTTCCTTAACCCATCTAATTGGTTAATCAAGTGCGTAGGACCCCATGTTAATGCTTCCATGTACGACCCCATGTACCTCTTGTAGAGTAGACCCCATGTCGATTCTTCTCTTTTACGACCCCATCAACCTCTTGTAGAGTAGGACCCCATGTTAATGCTTCCATGTACGACCCCATCTACCTCTTTCTTGTAGAGTAGGACCCCTGCTTCCATCTACGACCCCATCTACCTCTTGTAGAGTAGGACCCCATGTTAATGCTTCCATGTACGACCCCATCTACCTCTTTCTTGTAGAGTAGGACCCCTGCTTCCATCTACGACCCCATCTACCTCTTGTAGAGTAGGACCCCTGCTTCCATCTACGATCCCATCTACCTCTTGTAGAGTAGGACCCCTGCTTCCATCTACGACCCCATCTACCTCTTGTAGAGTGAGACCCCTGCTTCCATCTACGACCCCATGTACCTCTTGTAGAGTAGGACCCCTGCTTCCATGTACGACCCCTTGTACCTGTTGGCTACCTCTTGAACTAACGCGTTACAACAGCCTGGAGCTGAGAGACTGTAATCAGTTCCCCAAGGGGGAGCATCCCAATGTTGACTCTAGGACGGTTGATTGTACGAGTTACCCTGTCTTGTTGTTCTCATCAATATTTGGACCGCTATATGTGGAAGTGCCTGACTGGTAGCACAGGCTTATTCTGTTCTTATATAAACATCAGGAGAGAAGCATTGTATTGTATCGATGTGGTTTTTTTAATGTCGCTGTTGTGGTTAGGGTCAGGTTTAGGGTTAGGATCAAAGATATGTTCAGGGGATGAACGGGCTTTCGTTATTGCTAAGGTTAATGTTGTAATTCTAGTAAAGCACAGTTTCGATCATACTTTTTCTTCTCTCGACGGGTGGGGGTTTAAAATGTCACTGTACATGGACTCTAGTCCTGGTTAAAGTATATATTTTCTATGTTTTAGATTTCATGAGGGGGGGGGGGGGGCACTTTTTTTTTCGTAAAGATGCAGGAAATAAATTTTTGTAAATCATTATCTATGATATCATTTAACCTAACAAACTTAGAGAGAAAAAAAAGTTCTGTTTTCTTTGTTTTTAACTAAGACTGAATCGATAATATTTTTGTGTTCCACTAACGTCACCCTTACTCTCACATAAATAATATCATCCCTGTTGGAAATATCGCGGATAATTTACCGTAAATCCACACCTGTATTTAATAAAAACACGTCGACAATTGTTAAACTTAATACAATGTCTTTGTTAGCCAAATTTATAGACATTTCTAGTAGAGATCGATCTATCTCAATATATATGTATATATATACACAATCTATCCATTCATCTATCTATCCATTCATCTATCTATCCATTCATCTATCTATCCATTCATCTATCCATCCATTCATCTATCCATCCATTCATCTATCCATCCATTCATCTATCCATCCATTCATCTATCCATCCATTCATCTATATATCCATTCATCTATATATCCATTCATCTATATATCCACCCATTCATCTATCTATATGTCAATCCATCTATCTATTTACAACAAAATACATTGAAGTTTCGTAACGGCCTCATGATCGTGTAACACCACCCCCCCCCTCGGTCTAATTGTGACGTAAGGACCAGCCAGGTATAAAGTTCCATTCTTGTATGCAACTATTTGTTTTCTATATGGCACCGTGAAACAGGCCAAGCGTATCAGCTGACAGCTAACCTTTATAAACCGATACAAGAAGGGGAACACGGTGATAGTGTTGTGACACCTGCACCAGTGTTGCTTCCAGACTTCCTTCTCTCGGGGGGGGGGGGGGGGGGGCACTTGATTTTTTTTTTGGGAGTGGGAGGGGTGGACACTGGTAAAAGTATATATTTTTTTATATAAAATTCTATTTCGTTCGGCTCTGCCCCCCCCCATCCCCCCACCCCTAAGAGATGCCTGAAATAAACTCTGAATGCGACTTGTGTCAAGTTTGAGCTTAGCTGCACCAGTGTTACGCCTGTTGAACAACGTTTCACCACTACGTCATCGTAGAATATGATCTGGGTGTATCGTATACCCTGTCGCACGCATCAATGATTTTCTGTCTTGTTTTTTTTTTTAAAGGCTGTTCTTGTCATTAACGTCTTACACGACCATTCCCTAGCTTTCCATTTTCTATTTCTATACTCCTTTCTTGATACCTCTTACTTCCTACCCCTACCTCCCCACCTTAACATTTCACACCAGAGTTTCTTCCAGGCATCTCTTCGGGGCGGCTTTGCCCCCCCCCCCCCCCGAAGAAAGTCTACCCCCCCCCCCAAAAATCTGGAAGAAACACTGTTTCACACACTACTCTCTACCCCTTCCAGGGCTTTTTCCATCCATTTCGGTCGGAGTAGAGAGTAGTTGTAAGAATATTTAAATTTAATGCTGTTTTTTTTAAAATAGGCATTAGTGGGTTGGGCGTCTCGATATAAGAGAGATGCATGAAACACTGCATAATTCTCACTATATATCCATCCCCTAATGTCTACTCTTAATTTCCCACTTCATACCTACCACCACATTCTCACCACCACCAACTCACCACCCCTCTATTCCATCCTTCAAACATAAGACCACCCCCTGATAAACACCTCCTAACCCCCTTCCCTATTTTATACAACACCCCCCCCCCTTACCTCCCTCTGCTTTTCCCACTTAACGTTCGTGTAAAAACGAAATGTATATCTATTTATAGCGCTCGTCACTAGGCGTCAGCCAATAAGCAAACAGCGTCAAAATTGTCAAGGTCTCGGTGTGACGACACCGATGACGTGTGTCGTGCTGTGTTCCAATGGCCTCGGCTTGTTTCTGGCAGTGACGGAAGCGATCATGACGTCAACATGTTACGTCCATTGTAGCTGGTGATGAAATACTTACACCACGATCTGCATCTCCCTCCCCTTCCGCCCCTCTCTACTTCTTTCATCACGATTGTACAAAAAAAATCTTGAGGCTATTTTAGGGGATTAGAAAAAAAAAAGTATAAAACTTCGTCTCATCGTCCTGTCGTGTACAGGCTGTCTGCCTTGTGTTATTGTCCAGATCCATCTTTTAGTGTCCCTCATGTTCGTTGAGAACAGTCTGTCCGCTTGTCTAAATACACAACGTTTAACTATGCTTCTCTATGATATGTTAACAAATGTAAGTCATATCATTTTCGTTTATTAACATTGTTTCTTAAGGTTGTATAAATCATCTTTTCCAATTCTTGTCCAAGATACAAGAGTCAGATGTAGTAGAGTTGTTTTAAGGTTTTATTAATATCTGCTTGAAATTGAAGTTAATTATTAACCTATTTGCCCGCAAAAAAAATTTGTAATGAAAAGTATCCGTCTACATCAGGGGTCTCCAAACTTTTCAGTCCGAGGGCCGCATTAACTATCAAATTTCAGTTCGGGGGCCAGTTTCTTCCAGGCATGTCGTGATTTTTCTGAGCAAAGTTCCTCAGCCATCACTAACAAACGTTTTTTCCGTAGACAAAAAGATCTCCGCGGGCCGGATGAGAGGACCTCGCGGGCCGCATCCGGCCCGCGGGCCGTAGTTTGGAGACCCCTGGTCTACATAATAAAGTACCATATAGGAAGCTACCCTTGCAGCACAGGCGATCTTTTGGGCTGATAAAGTAGCGGTCACCTGTTTCAATATTAAGGAATAGTTTGGTCATTAATAAATCAAGCAGTTACCTTCCTTAATGTGAGACAGGTACCGTTTAGAGCTGGGTTGGCTCAAAATACGAATTTGAGACTTTCGGGTTTGCAGTCGTGCGTACCACCGCCCGACCAGGCCGTTCCACAAAGGGCTGTATACTTTATATTATATAGCAGTGGCGTAGGCAGGGGGGGTTAGGGGGGTCATAACCCCTCATAGACCCCTCGGTATTTAGAAAAAGTATGAGGGGGGGTGCAAATCGAAAGTTTGAGGGGGGTGCAAATCGAAAGTTTGTCCCGGGTAAAAATTGGAACCCCCCCCCCCCACTTGAGACGATCCTGGCTACGCCACTGTTATATAGTATGTATATGCTGGCACTAATATAAACGACCTTGACCTCCACAGTCCCACCTGGCCATCAAGAGGAGAGACCAGAAGTCCAGGGGCATGAAGCTTCCAGAGCTCGCTGAGAACACGGTACTGGATACAAGCCTTACGGTACCGGACACGACCCCCGCGGTACCGGACACGACCCCCACGGGACCGGACACGACCCCCAGGTCCACCAAAGCGCTGAACACTTGCCCCAGTCTTTCCCTTCCCCGCCTGGTCATGCCTCATATTTCGGTCACCAACTCTGACGCCGAGGTGCCCCCTCCGCCCAGCGATGACCCCGTGACCCCCAGTTTGCCGGCGTCGTTTCTGAAAAAGTTGGGATTAGCTGTGAAAGGTGTCAATGGAGAGAGCGAGAAATCCAGCCTTAGGTGAGTCCTTTTCTATTTCACATGTGTCTGTCCTGTTAACATTAGTTCTGTTTACCTTAGTTCTATTCATCTTTGTAACATTCATCTTTGTTCTGATTTACATTTGCTTTCTTCATATTTGCTTTTTCCCCGTGTGTTATGTTTACTGTTGCTGTTCACTTTTCCTCTGTTCAGCTGTGTTCCGTTTACCTTTGTAATATGCATCTGTAATCTGCTTACCTGTGTTATGTTTACCTTTGTAATATACATCTTTAATCTGCTTACCTGTGTTATGTTTACCTTTGTAATATTCATCTTTAATCTGCTTACCTGTGCTATGTTTACCTTTGTAATATGCATCTGTAATCTGCCCACCTGTGTTCTGTTTACCTTTGTAATATTCATCTGTAATCTGCCCACCTGTATTATGTTCACCTTTGTAATATGCATCTGTAATCTGCCCACCTGTATTATGTTCACCTTTGTAATATGCATCTGTAATCTGCCCACCTGTGTTCTGTTCACCTGTGTTTCTTTCACCATTGTTCTGTTCACATAGACATGTTTTTTTATAGAGTTCTTTCATATTTTGTACCTTTCTACATTAAAATAATTGATTTCCAAAACGAGGGAATTATCAGGGCCGGCGCAACCTATTAGGCGAACTAGGCGGTCGCATAGGGCGCTATCCCTAGGGGGCGCAGAAGGTTTAATCGCTATTATCAAAAGGTACCTAATAATTAATAGCTTGTATAAAGGAGTAGCGATCTATTTCGGCACCAAGGACGAACTATCAATTCTACAACCCCACCCCAAAATTTGGTCTATATAGGCCTTTATTTATCCGCGATGGTGAAAATGCAACCCCATCTCCTTAATTTGGAAAGGTCGGGGCGCTTTTTACCAGTCACTTTGCCTTTTTAATTAGGTGTCACATAAATGATGTAGAAAACGATTAAATAAGTTCGTAATTTAAATTTTGAACATTTTAATAGGGCTTGTAAGTCTCGTTTTCTCTGACTTTGAATTATAAAACTGTCCTGGTGTATAGAGTTTTGTAATGACGGGGTGTTCAAAGTATTGTAGCCTACTTGTTTGGTAAGTTTTGATGACTCGTTTAGATTTGGGAGTAACGGCGGAAGGCTGTTACTGATAGGATTCGTAAAGTATCTATGTGTTAAAGTGTCGTATTTTTATTTGGCTGTTGTGTAGTTGAAGGTCTGGTGGAATATGATTGGTAGTAGAGAAATGAGAATGCAGGTGATGAAGTATCGTAGTTCTGGAGTTCGGGTAATTGATTCTTGTGGTATTAAGGTATCGAATTATATTGACTGTTAAAGTGTAGTAGTAGGTCCAGTGAAATCGTTGTTGATTGGGAGTACCGTTTGTAGAGCTTGGTGAAGTTAAACGAGTTGGTGTCGTAGTTCTGGAGCATCGAGTCTAGTTATGTTTAGGTATCGAAGTTTGATATGTGTTGTGAATGTAGTAGAGTATGTCGAGTAGTTGAGTTTATCGTAAGTTAGATGATTTCAATTCAGTACGGAACACACTACAAAGAAAGGTAATCGGAACACACTACAAAGAAAGGTAATCGTTCTCTAGTTGAAAAATCTTGAGTTTTTCAGTTAACTATATTACCACTCTTAAAGTATTAATATATATTAAATAGGATGGAATTTATAACTAACCGTAAACTTTGTTTTTCCAAATTAAATTTTTTTTACTTAATCAATAATTCTAGCAATGTCTAAAGCAGTTACCCTTGTTTGATTTTTTGAAAGATGTCCCTTTATTTAGGGGATCCAAAATTCTATTTCGGTAAATGTGTACTAATAAGTGGCATAAAAATGTATGTCATCAAAATTGAATAGAAGTATGTTATAATACAGCTACCATTTTTAGACTTTCAAACAAAACCTGCAGTCAAGTACTCAATAGGTAAAACATATTGTTTTCACAAGGTTAAATAGATAATATGAAAATTTGTTGTAATTATTACGGAATGAAATTTATAGCGTTTTATTGTGTTTTTTAAACATATCTAAGTTTCACTTGGTTAATTTAGCTATTCTTGTGAAAGTTATTTCCCTTGAATAAAACTCTGTAATTTGGATTTTCAAATGGGAGATAATTCGTTGCTTAACTTTACATTCATTTCCAATTCCTGACCTTAGGTTGACCGCTTACATATAAATACAACTTTAAGTTATTATTTGCTAATGTAAAAATTATACAGAGCTTAAGTTTTAAACAATAGTTTGCTAGTTGTTTTTTTTTTAGCATTATCAAGTTGAAAAACATCAGTAGCCGTTGTAGATTGCAATACTTAATGTTAGTAGATATAAGGTCTTAGTCGTAAATTAAACATCAATTGTCTTTTCATATTTTTCACTCTCATATATAACAATTTTAGGCTGGAATCTATAAACCTGCTTTAAATAAGTTTTAACCCTTACGGGCCTGCAGATTTATTCTTAGTAGCAGTTTGTTTTTATATCTTCACTGTTACCCCATTACAGTTCGTTAAAATGTCTTAGTTATTCTTCCTTTTTAATTGACTTGTCATGTTTTGTTTAGAAAATGATTTTGAAAGAACTAATATTCACTTATTCTATTAAAAATAGATTTGATAATATTAGACATCTGTTTTGAAATTTGAGGTTTACGTGGAAACATAATCTGAGCTGTATTTAAAGAACATTGTTTTACTCTTCGGTGTAATACCCTTAGCCATTTATCTCAAAGACGAACATGTATTCAGCTAGCTACAACCCCGACTAACTCCATAACTAGTCTATTAGCGGCCTAGAGCTATAGGTTGTAGTGTTAGTCTGTCCAGCTAGTACCACCATGATCTTCGACGTGTGTGCGCGTGTCTGTGTGTGTGTGCGTGTCTGTGTGCGTGTGTGTGTCTGTGTGTGTGTGTCTGTGTGTGTGTGAGAGAGACAATCTATGTGACCACCGGCATATGTTGAGCTTTATCTCTGGGCAGTTTTTTTTTTCTCTTTAAAATGTGACACACGATTTATATCCAATGTGTCCTGCAGTAAAAACAAAGGTTTAGTGTTGAAATATTTTAAACTTGGTTGAATGTCGGAGGTACTATGGCGCTCTGTGTATAAATAGATCGGTCTAAGTACGTGATAATTGGAGCTTTGGTGGATACGAGTGGATATTGGCGCAGTTGTCTTTCTTTTTTCATTGAGTTCAATGGAGGCGGTCAAAAAATTAGCACACCGGCTGAATAAAAAACACGGACGTAAGAAAAGGTAATAACGTATTGGCTTGATTACCATAATTATATTACCTTTCGTGTAACTTTATGCTGGTGCTTAGTTAAGGCTTTTGCCTTCGTCATAGATCAAAACGTGCGAACGAAATTTCAATCACTTCTACAGGACTGATTTGTTTCAAACTTGACACCTCAGTCAAGATCCGAAAGCGATAGTGTGGCCTAGAGTTATAGATAATTAGATACATTTTCTCTAGATATATTATACGGCTTACTATTTGTATAAGTATAAAGATGCGTGGGTCAGTATATTATGCATTGAAAAAGTTTTGAACGTGGTAGGGACATCTCAGAATATACACATCGACATTATGGCAACGTAACCCATAAGATAGCCTACAAATTTGTCTTTAAAGTTTAATTATCGAATAATATACAAATAACTCAAAAAAGTAGATATTAAGACTTAAAATCTAGTTGTTAAAAGTTTTGAAAAATCATTTTTACTGACAAAAAGTATAAAATAAAACATTCTTATTTAACTATTCTACATAGGGTTTTTTTTAACTCGTATATCGAGATATCATAAAAATATATTTAAGCTAATGTATGATTCTCCTATTAAACGATGTACAAGTTTAATAAACTAACCAGATCATTAACCTTACTGACGTTAAAATAGAACGGTCCCATTAACTCTATTCCCACCGGTTGCAGAATGTTAAAATCCATAATCCTAGTAAACTAGAACCTGTTCTTGAACATGTACACTTGTATGTGGACATTGTTATATACCTGACGACCCATGAAATCCTACTTCAGTGGATCGATTCGAATCTCACGTTGTGCTATTAGCACTATCTCGTTTTAAATACGAATGAAGAACTTTGTTTATAAACGGTTTATTTGTGTTTCTCTAATGGCTTGAACCAGCACAAGTTTAAATAGAAGTATGTTTCGAATCATTCATTGCCTTCCATTCCTAAGTAAGCTGAATCCACGTATTGTACTGGTTTAAATAAGTTCTTTTGCGCTAAATATAGCGTAAAGACAACGATACTACCTGATCAAACTACAGTTGTTGTTTTTCATCGGAATTTTCAGTTGTACTCAAGTGATGTGTCTAATAAACCTCTCACAATTCTAGCTGCATAGTGACTGATTTTTAGGAATAAAAAAAGTGTTTAGTAAATCGTTTTTGTTAAGACGAGTGCTTAGTTGAAACGTTACAGGCAATATAACGTGCCTACTTTGCATAATTTATTATACATACATGTTGTTTGTTTTTTGTATTGATACAGTTTAACGTAAACCAGATTTAATTCTGCTGACGTTTAAAGCACCGTGTTGATGTAATGAGAGTATTTCCTGATGGGCAATTAATGCTAGTAAAAAAATGTGAAGTTTGTAAATGAAAATAAATGAACATCGAAAGCTATTACTGTCTAGAAATTTAAAAATAATTGCCTTGCAACTACCTGATTTATACACGCTAGGTAAATGAATATTAAATTCTTTCTGGAGCGCAGCTGTTTAAAAAAAAATAATCAATGGCTCAGCGAAATCCTTTAATTAGTGAGTGGTAACAGAAGAAGGGTGGGGGGGGGGGGAGATACCGGGGGTTGGCCGTGGTGTTACCTTATCACTTTATCTGGCCAGTGTTTGCTGAGTGCCGTGTTTTAAACCTCCCAGTTGGTGTTGTGTGGCTAGAGTTTAAGTTTGGTTTACGTTGGTGTTAAAATGTGGACTAATTACAGATACTCGCTGTTGTTTTAACGTTAATTTCATGTTCTATTGGAAAGTTTGTTTTGGTCCGTTCGCATAGTGAATTTCAGAGAGGTATTGTTTAGTTCATGATTATAATTGTGAAAACAAAGGCGTATTTGTTAGTGCGCATCGATATAGACAATATTTGATTTGGATAACTTGCTTAAAATGCAGTCGGATAACGTTAGTCGTTAGTTGTTTCAGTAGTGAGTTTCTTTTGTGACTTGTATCGATTGTTTCCATTGTTAGCGAATCATTTATTATGTATATCTCACTTTATTTTTATTGTTCGTTTGCTATGGAGCATTTGTTAGCTTTTTATTTTGATCATTGGGTATGGGTTTTTATTAGTCTAGTATCTGTGATCATTTAGTGTGAGTTTTTATTAGAGTATTCGCTGATTATTTGATGTCGGTAACTGGATAGCAGTGATTGTTTGATCATTTGATCTTAATCTTTTATTAATGTCCCGTATCTTTAATCGTTTGAGTTGTGTGTTTGTCTTGTTGCTTTGATCAGTCGTTGAAAGATAATGCGATGCATTAGCTGACAGATAATGAAGTGCATGTTAGATTATGTAAAGCTGTGTTGGGACGTCTGGTTGACGATTGATGCAGTTGTGTCTAGTGTTTCACTGTTTCACTCATCTCATGTGGCCTTGTTGTGGTAATGAGCGACTCTAGGACAGATCAGTTTGCTGTTGGTCCGTGTGTAGCCCTTGGTATTGTGGGTGTGTGAGGGGGAGATGGGGGGGGTCTGTGTGTAGTCCCGGATGGTGGAGGGGGGGGGGAGGTTCCGTGTGTATCCGTTGGTATTGTGGGGGACAGTATGTTTCCAGTGTAGTGAGGGGGGGGGGGGTGAATGGGTCTAGAACTTTCCCCAGCCGGGCTTCCCCCCCCCCCTCAAATTAACCATGTCAATTACCATCCTCCCCCCTCACAGTGATGAAGATCCCTAACCAAAAACCTATAGCTATGCTTAACCCCATCAATAATCCTAATCCCAACTCTAAAACTACATCTGACCCTAACAATAGCCGTAACCATATCCCTACCTTATCTCTAACTTGGCATGGTGTAATTGACGGGGGGGGGGGGGGTTAATGTCCTGTTCCCGGTGTGTATGTTACCCCGGGTAGTGTGGGTAGTCAGTGAGTTATATGAGTGAGAACTCATCTATCACATGCACGTCTTTAAACGTGAGCCAACGTCAAAGGCTAGTGATTTTGTTGACAGATCGCTCCTATACATTAAAACACCAACAGGGACCTGTATTTGTATAACCCAGGGGTCGGCAACCTGCGGCTCGCGAGCCGCATGCGGCTCTTTTGATATCAAGTTGCGGCTCTCCAGCTCCTTGAACAAATACTAATAATCTTAATAAAAAATAAAATATTTGAAATAAAAAAAAATGTTAGTGGCTCTTTAAGACCAGGGAAATTTTGAAAATTGTAACTTTTGGCTCTTCCGCTTCAAAAGGTTGCCGACCCCTGGTATAACCCCATCTCTCCCCACCACATTACTTTGTTAAAGCTTGCTCTGGTTTGACGTTGTTTTAACGTAACCTCAGAACACAGTTCGGAGGCCTGTGTGGTTTCATTATCTGCTAGATGTGTCTACTACATGCTGACGTAACAACTGTATCACATTGCATTTCATTCTGTTACGCATTGTTGAACTGTGGTTTTCTTTTTGACGTCACCCTTCACTGCGGCTAGACTAGCGTGTTGTAAAGGGTTAAAGAGGGACTAGATCAGTGGTTCTTAACCTGGGTTCGATCGAACCTCAGGGGTTTGGTAAGTCTCAAGGTCCGACAGAGGTCAAGACACATGCCCGACTTATGATTCACGATCGGATTTTGTCAGTGCGGTCGATAGATCAATTAGGAAGGGTTCGGTGAATGCGCATTAGAAATGGGTGGGGTTCGGGACCTCCATTAAGTTAAGAACCACTGGACTAGACAATGTTTACATTCTATCTTTTTAAAGACCTTGTACGGATAAATGCATATACATGAGGGAATATATTGTTGTGATATGCAGTTTATACCACACCATACTGTTTTAACTAGACTTTAAAAGAGGAGGAGTTAGGTCGACGGAGTCCACAAAAGCAACTGTTTGGTTTAGTTATTGAATTCTTCTATTGTGCCCTGTAAATGCCTACGTGGGCTGATTCGTTATCTCATTTGATCCGTGAAAACATTTCATTCTGTTTTTAGTTTTTTGTTGTGGGCTGCGTGATTGTTTCTTGGCGTGCTGTGGCTTCTCTGAATTCAACCGAGTTAGTTTGTAATGGAACGCCAGTTATTGTTAAACAGTGGTGGTGTTTTGTTTTCTTGCTTTCTTTAATCAATTTCAAGAACTGTGGGTAGTTGTGTTCTCAAAGTGTTACTTGTGTAGGTTTACTAAGGCAGATTTTTGTTTGACTTTGTAGTCTATTTCCATAGTTTAAGGAGTGTATATTTCTGTAGCTTGTGGAGTGTATATTTCTCTAGCGTGTAAACCCGTATATTTCTCTAGCGTCTAGTCCCATTTATCTCTCTAGCGTGTAGTCCCATATACCCCTCTAGCTTGTAGGCCCTTATACCCCCCACATATCTGAGATGCTATGATCGAGTGTCGAGATGTTGCAACACATCCATGACGTTGTACGCGAGGCTAGGAAGAAATTTCTAAGGTTTGTTAACGCTGAGATCTCATGTACTTATGTTTGCTTATTGTTCAGTTAAACCAAGTTAACATGAGCAAGTGATTTCTTGTTGATGTCAACCTTTATATGCGTTATTAGAGCTTTGAAGTTTACTTGTAGCAAGCAGTTTTAAATATGCATAACTGGAGTCAGTCATCTCAAAATTCATTTTTTTTTACATTTTTCTTTGCAGTGTTGACCAGCTACCTGAGAAAGAAATTGAGGTAAGGTCTTTGTTTTTATAGTTTATTTCCGCTTTAGGTAGTATGCAATGTCACATTGTCAAGGTCACTTCCTCTAACTTACATGTCATAAAAGTTACTCACCCCCTATCTTAACGTCATTTAGGTCTATATACGACCCTCTCTGTATAGCATCTGATTACAATCATAATTCACCATGTATACGTACTTGTAATCTAAACTATCCCCTGTCCAATCACGGTAATTAATGGAAACCCCCCTTACCCCCCCCCCCCCATAATTTTGTTCAATTACCCTATAGGCCTAATAGCCAGACATAAAGGAAAAATACACGAAGTTTATGTATGTGTATTGTATTACATGCACTCAATGTCTGTTTCGCAGTCAATGTCTTCTTCGTAAGGCTTAACAGGACCTATTTTGTGTCGGCTTCTCCAAGTTGGTAAAGTTGCTAAAGGCTGCTAAACCGAAAAGGCTCGAGTTCGAATCCTCGTGCAGATGAGGCTCGATAGCCGGGACACAGTAACCCATCTAGGAGAGAACTCCAAAATCAAACAACTGCTGTCTTGCAGGTTGTTCAAATCCAGTCACAAATGCAGGTTGACATCGAAGTCAACGTGCGTATGTAGCTCATTACATGTTGACACGTAATGCTTGTGATGAAGAAAATGCCTTCCAACATTACAATTAAGAACATAGAAGAAAAAAATCGCGTGTTTTATTTTCGCAATGATTAAACAAATAGTGGGGATGGCGTGGTCGGATGTTAGAGCTTACGACTGCCTACATGAAATTCTTAAGTTCCCATCCCGGGTTCGAGTCTGTGGAACGTCCTTAGCCCACGCACCTAAGTTAGGGAAATCAATTGCGGCTGACCACACCATCCCCTATATGCCGATGTCATTGATACAGATAAACTCTACTTCGTCTGCCGGGCCATGTGTTTTGGGCACTAACGGGAAAAGTTTCCGAGATGAAACAAGTGTTAGTTTACAAGAGTTTGTTTAGATGGTGAACTGGGTAGAAATAAAACCCTATGACTACTATATAGGGGGTCTCTTATTTCCTTTAGGTCTGGTCACGCAGCACTGTGATACACTGAACACACTCTGACAGTACTCTTGTGATCTGCATATCTGTCACATCATTCTAGAACCTTCTATTACATAACTTAACGTCACTTGTCATGATAGTTTACACGGCTCATGAATTTCCTCACACCCGTGTTTTACCCAGCTCTACTAGTTATCTCCCCTATGAAGATTTATCTCCCTTGTCACAACTCCCTGCCAGTGTTACCCCCCTCAGCAGTGCTTTAACTGTAACACATTGCTGTATTGTATGTTTCTAATAAACTACCGTGTTGTGTGTAGCTTACCTAACGGGCGTGTGCACGGGGACGGCGTGGTCGGAAGGGAGAGCGTATGATTACTAAGTCCCGAGTTCGATCTCCGGACATAGGAGTTTCGTTAGCTGGGGACAGCAAACCATCTAGGAGAGAAAACGCCAAAATCTATCAACTGCTGCCCTGTAGTTTATCGGTTGAACTAAAGCTATGGAAGCAAATCCAGAGAGTAATCAGCCAGAAGTATATGTCAACGTAGTATAACCTACTGACGCGTAATACTTGTATTAAAGAAATTCACTGTAACATTACAACGAACGATGAAGAAAAAGGCGTGTATAGTTGTAGGTGCCACAACTCGTGAATCTGTTCCACGAGGGATATTGTAATGGGGTAGAGGGACACACGGCTTTTAATGCCACAACACGCGCGAACAAAACGAGCGACACGTTTGATGTTTACCCTCAGACCAATCAATAGATGATCCGTGTCTATAGATGTGCTGATGTTTACATAGTTATGGTGGCTTGTTTACAAATATGCTAACGGCTGGGTACGTTTTAGTAATAAAGGGTCATCTTCGCTAAGTACAGTATGCAATTAAACAATTAGTCAACCAAATTTATTTCAGTGTTCACATAACTTTTATTTTAAAATGTTACCGCTATTTTGTTTTCACTTTATACACCGTATGGTGAAAGATAATTCAGTAGAATCTAAATTAGTTAGTCGTAAAAAAAAAAAAAAACTGTTCTAATGAAAAATCTAACTTTGAGCAATTTGCCTTGACATGTTCGCTTTAGTATTCCAGTTTCCATCATCAGTTTGTGAGGAGTGATACAAATTTACAATAATAATACTTTGTTTCTCATGTTATTTCATTCATTGAAAATATTAGTGGGGTCTGCGTGAGTCTTACCAAAAGACAACGAAACTGAGATAGATTAAATAGAAAGGCATTCGTTTTTGGTACTTTATTTTTTTTTTAATTAGAGCTGCAAAAAATCAGATGCATTGAATCATTAGCTAAGCTATAAATCAGTTTTTATGAACTAATTGTGTTTCCGGATCTCTGTTAGTGCCTGCCTAAAGAATAAAAAATTAGTCGTAAACATTGCAGTTGTTTGATAGAAATTCTGTTCACACATTGTGTCGTACACATGCATAGTCGTGGTGTATGTTGGTTTTAGAGGGGACAAATGTAATATATTAAGACTGGGGCATAAAAGAACAGCTTGGGTAAAAAAGTAATACATTTTTCCAAGTTATCGCCCCTTACACAAGCCAAATTGGGTGTTGTCATGTTAGAAAATTTTGCGTCGAGATTTTAGTTTAATGGTTTGCTGTCCGGCTAACATGTAGTATTCGATATTTGTTTATAAGATCGGTCCTCTTTATCCCTTGTCATGTATCCAGAGTGAATTGTTTTGGTCAATGTAATGTTCGTATTTAGCGTATTTTGTTGTGTAAAATAAACGCTAGTTTGTGCATGTTTTCTTCTTTAAACTTAATCTTTTACCTGTTCTGTGGTGAATCAACGTTGTCCCTGGGGCTAAAAGGTTGGGTTTTTAATGGGAATCAAGGCAGATTATGAAGGTTTACCTGTCATAGAGGAGATGTGTAGATGTCTGGCTATTTAGCCAACTGTACCTGGTGTATTACATAAGTGTAGATGTATGGCTATTTAGCCACTGTACCTGGTGTATTACATAAGTGTAGATGTCTGGCTATTTAGCCACTGTACCTGGTGTATTACATAAGTGTAGATGTCTGGCTATTAGGCCACTGTACCTGTTGTTTAAACTATGAACTTGGCTACTCCACAGAGTAAATTTATCAGCCTCTCCCTAACCTTTAAACTATGAACTTGGTCTATTCCACAGAGTAAATTTATCAGCCTCTCCCTAACCTTTAAACTATGAACTTGGTCTATTCCACTGAGTAAATTTATCAGCCTCTCCCTAACCTTTAAACTATGAACTTGGTCTATTCCACTGAGTAAATTTATCAGCGTCTCCCTAACCTTTAAACTATGAACTTGGTCTATTCCACAGAGTAAATTTATCAGCCTCTACCTCGTCTTTAAACTATGAACTTGGTCTATTCCACAGAGTAAATTTATCAGCCTCTCCCTCGCCTTTAAGACTGACAAGCTGACCTTGGACCAGAGGGTCAGCGTGCAGGAGAGGTCGCGAGATTTGGCCGAGCAGAACGTGGACAAGGAGCTGAATGGGTTGAGGGAAGCTGTGGAGGTACTGTGGGCATTGGTTGATCGGTTTGGGTGGTTTGTGTACATGTTGGGGGCTGTGTACATGTGGTGGGGCTGTGTACATGTGGTGGGGCTGTGTACATGTAGTGGGGCTGTGTACATGTGGTGGGGCTGTGTACATGTGGTGGGGCTGTGTACATGTGGAGGTGTGTGTACATGGGGTGGGGCAGTGTACATGTGGTGGGGCAGTGTACATGGGGTGGGGCAGTGTACATGGGGTGGGGCAGTGTACATGGGGTGGGGCAGTGTACATGGGGTGGGGCAGTGTACATGGGGTGGGGCAGTGTACATGGGGTGGGGCAGTGTACATGGGGTGGGGCTGTGTACATGGGGTGGGGCAGTGTACATGGGGTGGGGCAGTGTACATGGGGTGGGGCAGTGTACATGGGGTGGGGCAGTGTACATGGGGTGGGGCAGTGTACATGGGGTGGGGCAGTGTACATGGGGTGGGGCTGTGTACATGGGGTGGGGCTGTGTACATGGGGTGGGGCAGTGTACATGTGGTGGGGCAGTGTACATGGGGTGGGGCAGTGTACATGGGGTGGGGCTGTGTACATGGGGTGGGGCAGTGTACATGGGGTGGGGCAGTGTACATGGGGTGGGGCAGTGTACATGGGGTGGGGCAGTGTACATGGGGTGGGGCAGTGTACATGGGGTGGGGCAGTGTACATGGGGTGGGGCAGTGTACATGGGGTGGGGCAGTGTACATGGGGTGGGGCAGTGTACATGGGGTGGGGCAGTGTACATGGGGTGGGGCAGTGTACATGGGGTGGGGCAGTGTACATGGGGTGGGGCAGTGTACATGGGGTGGGGCAGTGTACATGGGGTGGGGCAGTGTACATGGGGTGGGGCAGTGTACATGGGGTGGGGCAGTGTACATGGGGTGGGGCAGTGTACATGTGGAGGTGTGTGTATTTGTGACAGGGTGCTGATGGTGTGTACATGTGTGGGATTTGGATGACCTTTGTACATGTGGAGAGGGTGTACATGTGGTGGGGTGTGGATGGTGTGTACAAATTGAGAGGGTGTGCATGTGGTGGGGTGTGGATGGTCTGTGTACATGTGGTGGGTTGTAATAGTAAGGTTTCCTTTAAAACCTGACGGACTACTTACGGGGCAAGTGAAGTAGAGTTCACTTGTTTCTGTTACCTCGGCATATGAAAGGATACTGTGGTCAGCACTATGCCAAGCCACCTTTACTTACCCTAACGTGAGTTAGGTACCCATCAGAGCTGGGTGCACTCAGGGACGGGCGACTGACTTAAACTTGGATTCGAACTCGAGACTTACGGGTTAGCAGTCCAGTTGTCTGCAGCTAGGCAACTCCCTCCCATTGTGGTGGGGTGTGGATGGTCTAATTTTATGTGGATGGTCTGTGGTCATCTATATTATTTTTAAATAATTGTGAGATAATGTCTATGTATTTGAAGAGATGAACGATTTATATGTATCAGTCTATATTTATATATTACAACCTCCATATAAGGAAATAGTGCAATATTCTCCCATTAAACCAATCAGGCACTTAATGAGGTGGTCACAGACCCCCAAGTGAGAGGGCTGATACAGAAGATGAGACAACATGTAGACATTCTAGAACAGGCTGCTGCCAGGGTCTCCAGCAGGGCGGAGGTGTTTGGTGCTGTCCAGCAGGTCAGTAGGGGGTGTCCTGTAGGTCAGTAGGGGGAGGGGTCTTGTCCTGTAGGTCAGTAGATGGTCTTGTCCTGTAGGTCAGTGGATGGTCTTGTCCTGTAGGTCAGTGGATGGTCTTGTCCTGTAGGTCAGTGGATGGTCTTGTCCTGTAGGTCAGTAGGGGGGTCTTGTCCTGTAGGTCAGTGGATGGTCTTGTCCTGTAGGTCAGTAGGGGGGTCTTGTCCTGTAGGTCAGTGGATGGTCTTGTCCAGTTGGTCAGTGGATGGTCTTGTCCTGTAGGTCAGTAGGGGGGTCTTGTCCTGTAGGTAAGTGGATGGTCTTGTCCTGTAGGTCAGTAGGGGGGTCTTGTCCTGTAGGTCAGTGGATGGTCTTGTCCTGTAGGTCAGTGGATGGTCTTGTCCTGTAGGTCAGTGGATGGTCTTGTCCTGTAGGTCAGTAGGGGGGTCTTGTCCTGTAGGTCAGTAGGGGGGTCTTGTCCTGTAGGTCAGTAGGGGGGTCTTGTCCTGTAGGTCAGTAGGGGGGTCTTGTCCTGTAGGTCAGTGGATGGTCTTGTCCTGTAGGTCAGTGGATGGTCTTGTCCTGTAGGTCAGTAGGTGGGGGGTCTTGTCCAGTTGGTCAGTGGATGGTCTTGTCCTGTAGGTCAGTGGATGGTCTTGTCCTGTAGGTCAGTAGGTGGGGGGTCTTGTCCAGTTGGTCAGTGGATGGTCTTGTCCTGTAGGTCAGTGGATGGTCTTGTCCTGTAGGTCAGTAGGTGGGGGGTCTTGTCCAGTTGGTCAGTGGATGGTCTTGTCCTGTTGGTCAGTAGGTGGTCTTGTCCTGTAGGTCAGTGGATGGTCTTGTCCTGTAGGTCAGTGGATGGTCTTGTCCTGTAGGTCATTGGATGGTCTTGTCCTATAGGTCAGTAGGGGGGTCTTGTCCTGTAGGTCAGTGGATGGTCTTGTCCTGTAGGTCAGTAGGTGGGGGGTCTTGTCCAGTTGGTCAGTGGATGGTCTTGTCCTGTAGGTCAGTGGATGGTCTTGTCCTGTAGGTCAGTAGGTGGTCTTGTCCTGTAGGTCAGTAGGTGGGGGGTCTTGTCCAGTTGGTCAGTGGATGGTCTTGTCCTGTAGGTCAGTGGATGGTCTTGTCCTGTAGGTCAGTAGGTGGTCTTGTCCTGTAGGTCAGTGGATGGTCTTGTCCTGTAGGTCAGTGGATGGTCTTGTCCTGTAGGTCAGTGGATGGTCTTGTCCTGTAGGTCAGTGGATGGTCTTGTCCTGTAGGTCAGTGGATGGTCTTGTCCTGTAGGTCAGTGGATGGTCTTGTCCTGTAGGTCAGTAGGTGGGGTTTTGTTCTGTAGGTCAGTAGGGGGGTCTTGTCCAGTCGGTCAGTAGGGGGGGTCTTGTCCTGTTGGTCAGTAGGGGGGTCTTGTCCTGTAGGTCAGTAGGTGGGGGGTCTTGTCCAGTTGGTCAGTGGATGGTCTTGTCCTGTAGGTCAGTGGATGGTCTTGTCCTGTAGGTCAGTAGGTGGGGTTTTGTTCTGTAGGTCAGTAGGGGGGTCTTGTCCAGTCGGTCAGTAGGGGGGGTCTTGTCCTGTTGGTCAGTAGGGGGGTCTTGTCCTGTAGGTCAGTAGGTGGGGGGTCTTGTCCAGTTGGTCAGTGGATGGTCTTGACCTGTAGGTCAGTGGATGGTCTTGTCCTGTTGGTCAGTAGGGGGGTCTTGTCCTGTAGGTCAGTAGGTGGGGGGTCTTGTCCAGTTGGTCAGTGGATGGTCTTGACCTGTAGGTCAGTGGATGGTCTTGTCCAGTCGGTCAGTAGGGGGGGTCTTGTCCTGTAGGTCAGTAGGGGGTCTTGTCCTGTAGGTCAGTAGGGGGGTCTTGTCCTGTAGGTCAGTAGGGGGGTCTTGTCCAGTCGGTCAGTAGGGGGGGTCTTGTCCTGTAGGTCAGTAGGTGGGTCTTGTCCAGTAGGTCAGTAGAGGGGGGGTCTTGTCCTGTAGGTCAGTAGGTGGTCTTGTCCAGTTGGTCAGTAGGTGGTCTTGTCCAGTTGGTCAGTAGATGGGGGTCTTGTCCAGTTGGTCAGTAGAGGGGGTCTTGTCCTGTAGGTCAGTAGGGGGTCTTAGGTTTGGCACTGTCCAGTCTATGGTCTTATATTTAGACATAATGTAAACCTAGTAATATTTCTCTTCATCTTGCTGTTATTTCTCTACACACATTTCTCTTCCTTGTACTGGTGAGTGATAAAGGTAAAGAGATTCCAGACTGAAGTGGAATCATGTGGCAGAGTCCCGCTCACGCTGTTGTTGATTGAAAACACATTATTTCAAGCCATTTCAAGGGGAATGTGCTTGTAATAAAATGCTAATTTTTTTTTTAAATCTCCACCGTCATTTTTCTATATAAACTGTTGACTCTAATATTGACTGTATTGTTTAACTGTTGACAAGTGTTGACTTTATAGTGTTGACTCTAGTGTTCAACTGTTGACTAATGTTGACTGCATTATTCAACTGTTAACTCTATTGTTGACTGTAGTGTTCAACTGTTGACTCTATTGTTGACTGTAGTGTTCAACTGTTGACTCTAGTGTTGACTGTAGTGTTCAACTGTTGACTCTAGTGTTGACTAGTGTTAACTGTAGTGTTCACGTGCTGATGTTTGTTGTTGCCAGGAGAGGAGGATGTGTAAGGCCATGGAGGTGATGGTGCTGTACACAGAGAACCTGCGGAGGATAAGAGAGAAGGAGGAGTCAGAGCTGATGGAGGCCAGGTATACATTCACTCACATGGTATACTTTCATTCACATGGTATACTTTCATTATCTTGTTGCTTCTCATAGTATACATTAATTCTCTTCATGCTTCACATAGTATCTTCTTCGTTCTTAATTTTAAATGTTGGAAGGTTCTCCCTCCAACACAATTATTTCATGTCATCTTGTTATGTGCCATACAGGCAGTTTCACACATTATACATTCATTGTCTTGCTGCTTCACAAGGTATACATTTTGTGTTGGAGGTGGATCTGACAGATCCTTGTAAGCCTGAGTTTAATGGTGTAGCTAATCACAGTTAACTGCTCATTATAAGCATGTCAAAGTAATATTTAGCCAAAATATGTTTAGTAAATTGACTTTCCCTAACTTATAACTGGTTAGCTTCTGAATATGACTTGAGATTTGGACTTCAGACATTCAGGTTTTTGCACTTTCGGCCATGTTGACTTCTTTCATTTAAAAATTCTATCACCAGTACTTGCGTTCAGATCACTTGACTTTAGTTTGAGATTTATAATGTTGCACTATTGGCCATGTTTACTTGACACCCTATAAAAATCAGCTGTGGTTTTGTTCTACTCTTTTAACATTACCTGAAAGTGTGTGTAGTTTAACTGTTTACACCTATGTTTGTGTAGAGTTATACTGTTTACACATAAGAGCTGTCCCTGTTATTTATTTGTATGCACCTGTACTTCAGTCGATTCTTGATGTTTGTTTTGGTTGCTGTTTGATGTGCCACATGGTGATGGAGTCAGGTGCTCTACTTGCCAGTTCAAAGACCTGCTTTCCTCAGAGTCTGATATTTGATGTCACTGGACCTTAGCCAACCTGCTCTGTACCTCATGACCCCCATCATAAAGACACTCAGACACTCGGATGTTGTTGTTAGACAAATAAGTCAGTACATACTGCTGTGGAACTAGGATTTAGATTGAATTTTCCATCAGTGAAAAAAATATGTCATGCTTTGTCAAACTTTTTTATTACACAAATAATGAAACATGCTAGACTTATCAATAAAACTTGTTCTGCACAGAGTGTGAAACATGTTCCCGACTTGGCATAAAATAGGTTCCAAACTTAGCATAAAACATGTTCCAAACTTAGCATAAAACATGTTCCAAACTTAGCATAAAACATGTTCCACTTACAGTGGCAATGAATCTTGCCACCATACTTTAGTTAACTCCATGCCTAAAGAGCCAGCACTAATCTGTGTATGACAGTTCTCTGGTTAACTTGTGTAGCTCTAGATCTACCAGCTGTCATGCTCTGTTATCTTAGTTGTTTACCTTATGTTGTTACCTCATTACTCTGCAATGTTTAAACCTACCACCATTTTAAAACATGTTTTACCTTTTTTTATTTGAAGAAAAATATTAAGTGAAAGATCAAACAATGGCTACAGCCTGGATGGAGGTATGTTTTCAATTCTGCTTTGTGTTGTTGTTGTTTTAATAAATCATTTCATTTGGCTTAAATCACATTTTTAGAATATTTTTATTTTGAATTACTAAATTATGCTTTGGATTTAACTTCTTTGATTTAAATTTTTGGCTTTTATTTTGATAAGACTGTTTATATTTCATGTTTGTTCATCTGTTCAACACTTGCTATGTTAAACGTTAGCTAAATCTTTATCTCATTTTATAACTAAATCTTGTGGAATTCCATTAATTCAGACAGCTTTTGTTATAAGGCCTAAATCGTATAAATCAAAATTATCTACTTTGTGAAAACTTACTTTTGACCAGTTTCAAAAAGCCAAAAAAGTTTACTTTTATTGGTCAACTGCAGCACAAGATTAAACTGTCCACACACAAAAATAAACAATTCTTCTTGAAATGTCTTACTTATAATTTTTGCTGTCTGTAAATGCTGATAATATATCCACTATGCAAAGTAGCTATTGATCTCTTACAGTGTTTTTTAAACATTTTTTTTAAGTTCATTACACATTAAAAACCCAAGTAGAATTTTTATTATTTTAGGTTACATTCTAGTCATTGTGTATTTTAAGAGAGAGGTATTGTAAATATCACTAGGTTAGTGTGTGAACTCTAGTCTCTACATTTATTGATCACATGATGTGATTATTGAAGTGTGAAAACTAATTCTGTTTCTTCCACCCGGCAGACTCCAGCCCTAGCAGAAGATCAATGTCCGTGTGCGGGGTCAATGCTATTGGCAGGCCGGTCAGTATTTTCTTCTCTGTGCATTTTGACAGGGTTTTGTTTAAATGGGAGAGAAAATCACAGATAGAACGAATGGTTGCGCCTTTGTGACTTTTTTTAGCAATAAGAGATTCATAGTGGCGGGGGGGGGGGGGCATTGTGGGATGTTCTGGTCATGGAGTGCCTATTTCAATAAATTATTTTTACTGTAAACTCTTTGCCGACTGTTGCCTAATTTATCCTCTAGAAATGGAAACACTGCCTCTCTTGAAGGGTATAATGAAGCATTTATTTAAAAAAATAAGTCAGTAGAGTTGTCTAATTTAGAAGTAACCATAGCAAGATTTTAATTGACCATTTATTTCTTTTTGGCTTCTAGAGGGTTAAATTACCTGCGGTAGATGTTAATACACCATTTTTTAGCGCAATTTCCATTCTGGAGAATTGCGTTTATTAACCCGTCATTTCTGGATGTATGAATGAATGGATGGACGGATGGATGTGTGTCCGCAGCTTTAAGTCGTATCTCCTCCTCAACGAAGCAATATCGATGACTAGTTTTTATTTTGATTGTTAGAGGGTGAGTTAAATTACCTGCGTTAGATGCTAATACACCATTTATTTCCTCTTGCCTGCTAGCCTGCTAGGGTGTTAAATTACCCTATGAATGAAGCTGGGGACAATCCTGACTCTTTTGTAAGATCTATCTTAGCAGTTCAAATGGTGTTTGATTTTTTTTTTTTTTTAATTCTATTTTTATAAGTGTTTTGCTTTTATTTTTAAGTAACTCTAGCAGATTTCTTAGTAGCTTTTGAGTTTTATTGTAAATCGATGTGACAGAAATGTTTTTGAAGAAAAATAACTTTAGAAGATTTAATAAGTGGCTTTGTTTAGCATTTTAGAGTTTTATTTTTCAAGGATGTAACTGTAATGTTTATTTATAACTGGAGAAAAATAACAAAATATTTTTTTATTTGGTTTTTTTTTAGCACTTTTGAGTTTTATTTTTTAATGACATAACTGTAATGTGTATTTATAACGAGAAAAATAACTAAATATTTTTAGTATCTTTGTTTTAGCGCTTTTGAGTTTTATTTTCTAGGCTGTAACAGCTATGTTTATTCATAAACTTGGACCTTCCGTTTAGCTTTAGTTTTGTGTGGAATTTTTTAATCGCTGTTTGTTGTTAACTTTTAGATTCCAAACTGCTTCGTTTCAACTAAATAAAGGTTGTAGTGAGATCAGTAGTAATTATTAGATTTGAATTCACAATAGATTTTAAAATTAAATTTTTTTTTTTTAAATTGTGTGCTTTGTTTATTTTTTTTTTAACTAAAATCTATTCAACACTGAGCTATGGTTAAAAAAAAAGCTATGTTGTTTGTTTTTTTCTAGTCACTAAATGTGATATATCACTAGTCACTTGGGTGTTGTTCACTATATTATCTATGTAGAAACTTTTTTCTCAACATAGCACTACATTTTTATCTCAGTTTTCTAAGCACTTCTGAAAAAAAAAACTATATAAATTTAAAAGCACTGATGTGTTAGTGAGAAATCTGTGTAAATCTATGGGAAATTTTATACTTGGCTTGTGTTGTTTATTATAAGTTGTCAAACCATGAAAACCATTGCTATCTATGGATGCATGATTTAATTAAAAAAATGATTGTACCATCTGAACAGATCAGGCGCAGGAGTGAAATAGCTCTACCCAGAGTTCTAGGGGGCTCAGGTAGTCCTTCACTCACCCTCTCACCCAACATGGTAAGTTTGTTGTTTGTTGTCCATAGTTGTATGGTGGGTAGATGGGGGCTTTATGCTAGAGCTGGTAGGTGGTGACATTAGGGTATGTTTGGTAGGTGGGGACATTAGGGTATGGCTGGTAGGTGGGGACATGAACTGGTAGGTGGGGACATGAGCTAGTAGGTGGGGACATTAGCTGGTAGGTGGGGACATTAGCTGGTAGGTGGGGACATTAGCTGGTAGGTGGGGACATTAGGGGCAGCTGGTAGCTGGGGACATTAGCTGGTAGCTGGGGACATTAGCTGGTGGGTGGGGACATTAGGGTATGGCTGGTAGGTGGGGACATTAGCTGGTAGGTGGGGACATTAGGGTATGTTTGGTAGGTGGGGACATTAGGGTATGGCTGGTAGGTGGGGACATGAACTGGTAGGTGGGGACATGAGCTAGTAGGTGGGGACATTAGCTGGTAGGTGGGGACATTAGCTGGTAGGTGGGGACATTAGGGGCAGCTGGTAGCTGGGGACATTAGCTGGTAGCTGGGGACATTAGCTGGTGGGTGGGGACATTAGGGTATGGCTGGTAGGTGGGGACATTAGCTGGTAGGTGGGGACATGAGCTGGTAGGTGGGGACATGAGCTGGTAGGTGGGGACATTAGGGTATGGCTGGTAGGTGGGGACATGAACTGGTAGGTGGGGACATGAGCTAGTAGGTGGGGACATTAGCTGGTAGGTGGGGACATTAGCTGGTAGGTGGGGACATTAGCTGGTAGGTGGGGACATTAGGGGCAGCTGGTAGCTGGGGACATTAGCTGGTAGCTGGGGACATTAGCTGGTGGGTGGGGACATTAGGGTATGGCTGGTAGGTGGGGACATTAGCTGGTAGGTGGGGACATTAGCTGGTAGGTGGGGACATTAGCTGGTAGGTGGGGACATTAGCTGGTAGGTGGGGACATTAGCTGGTAGGTGGGGACATTAGGGTATGGCTGGTAGGTGGGGACATTAGCTGGTAGGTGGGGACATGAGCTGGTAGGTGGGGACATGAGCTGGTAGGTGGGGACATTAGCTGGTAGGTGGGGACATGAGCTAGTAGGTGGGGACATTAGGGTATGGCTGGTAGGTGGGGACATTAGCTGGTAGGTGGGGACATTAGGGTATGGCTGGTAGGTGGGGACATGAGCTGGTAGGTGGGGACATGAGCTGGTAGGTGGGGACATGAGCTGGTAGGTGGGGACATGAGCTGGTAGGTGGGGACATTAGGGTATGGCTGGTAGGTGGGGACATTAGCTGGTAGGTGGGGACATTAGCTGGTAGGTGGGGACATGAGCTGGTAGGTGGGGACATGAGCTGGTAGGTGGGGACATGAGCTGGTAGGTGGGGACATGAGCTGGTAGGTGGGGACATGAGCTGGTAGGTGGGGACATTAGCTGGTAGGTGGGGACATTAGCTGGTAGGTGGGGACATTAGCTGGTAGGTGGGGACATTAGGGTATGGCTGGTAGGTGGGGACATTAGCTGGTAGGTGGGGACATTAGCTGGTAGGTGGGGACATTAGGGGCAGCTGGTAGCTGGGGACATTAGCTGGTAGCTGGGGACATTAGCTGGTGGGTGGGGACAGAAGACTACAGCTGGTAGAATCAACCTGATAAATACTGTAATTAACAGCCACTGGAGAATGTAAGAGTGCAAAGATTGTGTTCTATTGACCTGCTAGCATTGTCCTCAATGTGGTACAGGGCTGGTTACCTAAGTTTCTCCTTTACTGCTTCACAACTGCCTCTGCCAACAACAACCTTAACTGCTTACATGCCCGCTACACTCAGCATTTTTCACTTTCTCATGGATTCTGGGCTTTCTCATTCAAAACTGACCACATGCTTTGTAAACTAAATGTTAGTTAGCCTACAGGTTTTATCTAAATCTTGACACTTGATATGTTAAAAACATTTAAAATAAAATTATTTGTGACCACATCTAGGGGACATGTCAAATTTAGTTTAGTCCAAAGTTTTTAATTTAAGCAAGTTGATGTTAGGTTTTTAACATCTTGCTTGGTTGCCTGATTCAAATCACATCAATGTTGAGGTCTAATTCAATGTAACTTCAGCATTCTCTTCTCTATTAATCTGGGCTGTCAAACTTTGGAATGTGGGTGGGGGTCTGCATGGGAGTGTGGGGCAGTGGTGTAGAGAGGTCGGGTGTCACCCGGTGCGGCACTTAATGGTGTCACCCCCCAGAGGCATAGCGACCCTTCCCGGGGACAAACTTTCGATTGACAAACTTCCCGGGGACAAACCCCCCCCTCTCAAACTTTCATTTTTCTCTATATTTTGCTATTTGGTACCTTGGTGTCACCCCCCCCTAAATGGTGTCACCCGGTGTGGTCCGCACCCCGCCCCCCCTCGCTACGCCTCTGGGGTGGGGTCACATGGCATGGGAGGGTGGGGTCACACGGGCAGAGCATGCTACTGTGAACTGACTTGACCTGAGAAGAACTAAAAGAGTTTGCCCTACATCACTAGGAGAGCGCCAGTCCCTCTGTGGAGCGCTCCAGCAACTTGCTGGCTGTGGCTGGATATAACGAGGGAGGGGAGGTAAGAATGGTAACAGCTGAGGCATCACACTTTGAGGAGTTCTGTTTCTTGTTTTTTTTTTATTTTTTTAGCAAGATTGGAGGTTATGAATGGGAATCATGATTTTAGCTCAAAAACTTTTTTTTTTTAAATTTAACTTACCATGAATATAGTAGACCTACAGGCTTATTCTGTTAATTTAAATTTGAAACAAGTCATTGGTATCTATAAGCTAATCAGGTGAATCCTGTGTGTATTGTGCCTTGGTATCTATAAAACATGGAGCTATGAAATTAAAAGATTACCCACCAGACCAGAACCTCTAATCTAGTTTAACTGTTGGTTGTTGTGCTGACCATATTTCAGTGCCACTTCATGCCAAAGCTACAAACTTTATTTGCTCTCAACTAACTGCTAACTGGATGCCCTAACTATCATTTTAAAAACACTTTTCATGCTATATTTGTAACAAATCTACTAACAGCATCAGCTTGATTTCAGCCTTTGTTAAAGTTGAAAACAGAATTTGAAACTATTTTCTTTAAGCCATTAGAAAATGTAATATTAGTTGGTTTGAAGCTTTAGTTTTGTAAGTTTTGAGGTAATCTGTGTGGTCAAGATATTGTAAAGAAAATATGCAAATTTGTTTTTATATTTGTGTTGACATTTATTCCATGTAGGCCCATTTGTTTATTTATTTCACTTCATATTAATATTTATTATATTTTATTACACAAATATTTTGTTTACAATACTTTTCATCAATTTTTATATTTTGTCTTTTCATTTTATCCTACATTTTTTTACTGTAACCTCTGTTTATATTTGTATATTATTTATCACTATTACACTTCATTCCATATATTTCTGTCTCTACTTCTACATCTACTACCATCAGAGATTATGAAGGACATGGGAAATTAGAAAACAGAAACAAAATAATCCTTTTCATTATGGTAGTAAGGCTTGCGTCAATGACTTATGTTAAAAATCTCTCATGTGATGTAGTGGTTAAAAATACTTGATAAGTTGGCTTTCTTTTCCTCAGTATTTATAGATCTGTTGCTCACAAATGTCTTTGTGGCATATTTTCTGGTAGGCTCCATGTTTATCATATACATAGGAAGGTAGCTTTTTTCTCATCCAAGCGGCAGAAAGTAGTCCCATCTTCAAGGCTTTTTATTTATTTTTTTTTAATTTGTTTTATTTATTTATTTGTAAATTAACCCAGATTTTATTTTCAATTTTCGCTAAAATTACCTCCCTTAAAATTTTATAGGCTACCATAGTGGTGTGGTGTGGAGTTATATTTAGAAACCTAGTTGAGCACATTAAAGCATTGCCTGTTAGGGTGTTAAAGTCTAGCTAGAGTTGTGTGGTGTACCCCTGATCTCATACAGTGTTTGCCTACATACTCCCATTATAAGTTCCTTGTGTCTTGCCTACATACTCCCACTATAAGTTCCTTGTGTCTTGCCTACATGCTCCCATTATAAGTTCCTTGTGTCTTGCCTACATACTCCCACTATAAGTTCCTTGTGTCTTGCCTACATGCTCCCACTATAAGTTCCTTGTGTCTTGCCTACATGCTCCCACTATAAGTTCCTTGTGTCTTGCCTACATACTCCCACTATAAGTTCCTTGTGTCTTGCCTACATACTCCCACTATAAGTTCCTTGTGTCTTGCCTACATACTCCCACTATAAGTTCCTTGTGTCTTGCCTACATGCTCCCACTATAAGTTCCTTGTGTCTTGCCTACATGCTCCCACTATAAGTTCCTTGTGTCTTGCCTACATGCTCCCACTATAAGTTCCTTGTGTCTTGCCTACATACTCCCACTATAAGTTCCTTGTGTCTTGCCTACATACTCCCACTATACGTTCCTTGCGTCTTGCCTACATACTCCCACTATAAGTTCCTTGTGTCTTGCCTACATGCTCCCACTATAAGTTCCTTGTGTCTTGCCTACATACTCCCACAATAAGTTCCTTGTGTCTTGCCTACATACTCCCACAATAAGTTCCTTGTGTCTTGCCTACATACTCCCACTATAAGTTCCTTGCGTCTTGCCTACATACTCCCACTATAAGTTCCTTGTGTCTTGCCTACATGCTCCCACTATAAGTTCCTTGTATCTTGCCTACATGCTCCCACTATAAGTTCCTTGTGTCTTGCCTACATGCTCCCACTATAAGTTCCTTGTGTCTTGCCTACATACTCCCACTATAAGTTCCTTGTGTCTTGCCTACATACTCCCACTATACGTTCCTTGCGTCTTGCCTACATACTCCCACTATAAGTTCCTTGTGTCTTGCCTACATGCTCCCACTATAAGTTCCTTGTGTCTTGCCTACATACTCCCACAATAAGTTCCTTGTGTCTTGCCTACATACTCCCACAATAAGTTCCTTGTGTCTTGCCTACATACTCCCACTATAAGTTCCTTGCGTCTTGCCTACATACTCCCACTATAAGTTCCTTGTGTCTTGCCTACATGCTCCCACTATAAGTTCCTTGTGTCTTGCCTACATGCTCCCACTATAAGTTCCTTGTGTCTTGCCTACATACTCCCACTATAAGTTCCTTGTGTCTTGCCTACATGCTCCCACTATAAGTTCCTTGTGTCTTGCCTACATACTCCCACTATAAGTTCCTTGCGTCTTGCCTACATACTCCCACAATAAGTTCCTTGTGTCTTGCCTACATACTCCCACAATAAGTTCCTTGTGTCTTGCCTACATACTCCCACTATAAGTTCCTTGTGTCTTGCTTACATACTCCCACTATAAGTTCCTTGTGTCTTGCCTACATGCTCCCACTATAAGTTCCTTGTGTCTTGCCTACATACTCCCACTATAAGTTCCTTGTGTCTTGCCTACATGCTCCCATTGTAAGTTCCTTGTGTCTTGGTCTGTATCAGTTGCCATAACCTAGTCGCCCACTCTATCTCATATAATATCTGCATAAATATTCCCACTATCACTATATGTTTATCCTTGTCTCTTGGTCCGTATTTGTTAATGAAACAAAGCCCATTTATTGCACAATATTGACCTTGCTATACATTATACTACCTCTGATTAATCAACAGCTTAAGTAGAAATGTCCCTATAAAGCAATGTGATATAGTAAACTTGTTGTTACCATCTACATTATTTCTACTAGGTTTTTTTTTTTTAAATAATTATCAGTAGGCTCTTTATTATTCTACACTAGATCATACAGTAATAGTTTTTCTATAGGGAAAATGGACCTAAATAAAAATAAAGTATTAAAAAAATTAAAAAATTAACTAGTCTCTAGCTGTTTTTTTTTTTTACATTGCTCAATAAATCCAAACATTATTTTTGTGGGTTTGAATTTCCAAGGTAGAATGTGTATCTTGTGGGAAAGACAGTTATGAGAAGTGGGTGAACTGAATTTTTAGGAACATTAATAAGTGGTATGCCAATGGCCACAGTGTTTTAAGGGACAATTGATTGATTAAATAATGGGAAAACTTTATACCATACACAACTTTTGGTCCCTCAGCTACTACATGTTCCCAGCTTGTTAACATTGGAGTTTGAAAACACATTTCTGTTAAAACTAAATTTTCTGAGACAATCGTTCTTAATTAAATGGTAAAATTGAGAAGGGATTGAGATAAAAAAGAAAGTAGATGATCACAATCTGAAGTATTATGTTTGTCAGCATGTCTGCTTCAGTCATGTGGGTTAGTTGTCAATGTTTTGGTTACCTTAATCCCTGTCTACCTTTAGGTAGCTTGAGGTTCATTTGTTTTTTTATATAATGTGGTAGAAATCTTTTTTTTTCTAAAAGGAATCTTTTTTTTTTTCTAAATCTAAAAACATAATTCATTCCATAAACTTACATCATGTTTATTCAAGCCATAAATGTTGAAGTGAAAAAAAAAATGTTGTAGAATTTACTTTTGTAAGGGGCTGTATTTTGGTCTTGACTTGGTGATTAACAGAGTGCTATCAATTGTTTCTATAGTCAGCTCTATTGTCTCTATGCCAGGATGCCAAGTCCAGGTTCCAGACTGCCGTAGCCAGCACCTCTATGCAAAATGCTGTGACAACCACCATGAAGAGGGTGTCAGGAGAGAGGCAGAGAGCCAGTTCTATGTGTTATACGCCTTCTCCCGTATCTCTAGTACCTTCATTGCTGTCAGCTTCAGGGGATGCAGGTGGCACCAGGTGAGTCACACCTTTTGTTGTTGTACCTTCCTTACCTTCACATAGCCAGGTTATCTACCTTATCGTCTTCATCATCACCATATAGGATACACCAAATAAATGGTATAAGGAATTTTAAACCTACCAACATAAAAATAAAGTTGGTTGTTTTTATTTTTATGGAGATGGATGTAGTGCTGTTGTTTTATTGTGTAGGTGTTTTTCCTCTTGTTTTATTTACCATTGCAGTATCAGTTTTGTAAATAAAATGTTCAATATTGTTTTCCTCAGCTTATCAGGGAAGGTGGATGAAAAGTCTGAAGGATTGAGGACAGTGTCTCATGAGGAAGAAGCTTTTAGAAAAGGGTTTGTTTTGTTAATTTAAAATTTTATTCAACTGTAACTAGTTTATTTTTTTTTATATTTGGTTAGTGTGCAACATGCAGCAAAGACTGTGGGATGACAAGCATAAAAAAGAAAACAAAACAAATGTTTTAAATATGAAAACTTGGTTCTTAGAAATATGCACCAACAGAAAACAGCAATAGCAAAAACAAAATGCACAAATACAAACAATAATAAAAATACACTTTAAAAACGTCATATTTCTTTTTTGTGTGCTGATTTCAAGAGCCTATCTTTCCAGTCACCTAAAAAATCCTTTGTTTATCCTTCTAAGTAAATTTACTTAGCTTGTTTTTTTTTATATTTCTCTGGGTGTTCTTTTTCACTAAACTCAACAGACTTAATTAACTGATTATTATATAGGATGGTAACCTACATGAGATCTTTGGGAAGTGAACATTGTAAAGAAAGCCTGGTATTTTGTACATTGTAGGTTTGAGGAGGGCTTAAAACACAAGCTGTCTCAAGAACTGAATGAACTAAGAGACCAGCAGAACTCCATTAGCCACAGCCTGGAGCATATGATGGACAGGGTGGAGCAGTCACAACAAGAGGAGGAGGAGTTACTCGCAAGGTACTAGAGTTACTGGCCCTTGGTCTTAGGACAAATCTGCAAAATCATTATCTTTTCATAAACTTGCCCAACAGTTTCTTTCAGGCATCTCCTCAGGGGGGGGGGGGGGGGGCAAGCCGTTAACAAAATAGACAAAATATGTACTTTATATAGCAAATATAGACTTTAACAATTGGTTGTGCACTAAAAATTGAAGTTAAAGGAGGATTTTTAATTAATTAATACTTTACAAACAGCTTATTTTCTCAACATATTCTAGTAATTATACATAGGTTCAATTTTTATATTCAGTAAGTGACATAGCTTGAAGATTTATAACTAAACTATAAACATTGCAGTGCATATACTAGCCAACTATATATTTTGAATTTGTAGAGGCCTATATATAGAAGTAACTTTAAACATTATTTTTATGACGTGTGGACAAAATTCCTAGCTTTTATTCTCCCAATGGCCAAACTCTCAAAGATGTTTTTTATGCTTGATTTTTTTTTCAAACATGGCATTTTGTTCCCCCAATGGCCAAACTCTCAAAGATGTTTTTTATGCTTGATTTTTTTTTCCGAACATGGCATTTTGTTCCCTTTTGGCCAAACTCTCAAAAATGGTTTTATTGCTCCTCAATTATGGCTTTTTATTCCCCCAGTGCCTAAACTACCAAAGATGGTTTTATTGCTCCTCAATTATGGCTTTTATTCCCCCATTGGCCAAAGTCTCAAAGATGGTTTTATTGCTCCTCCATTATGGCTTTTATTCCCCCATTAGCCAAACTCTGAAAGATGGTTTTATTGCTCCTCAATTATGGCTTTTATTCCCCCATGCCACTCTGAAAGATGGTTTTATTGCTCCTCAATTAAAGCTTATATTCCCCCAGTGACTATACTCTCATATGGTTTTATGGCTCCTCACTTATGGCTTTTATCCCCCCCACAGGCCCACAAGACTGGAGACTATGGTGAGTCTGGTGTCCAGGTTAAAGACCAGACTTGTCCACCACGACTGGAGGTCCAACAAGAAGGCCATCAGGAACATCGCTGGCGTCATCTTCGTCTTGCTGGCTGTTCTAATTGTCTTCCTCTCTCCCCCCATTTCAACAGTTGATGTAAGACATGTCACTAAACCTCCCCAGTAGATTGGTTGTATATTTTATATAGTTAATTTTTTTACAGTTATGTTAAGGTTTTATTACTAGCAATGCTACGGGCAGGTAATAATCAAAATGTTTTTTGTTGAGAGAATAAAGTTTAAAACAACGAACTGTATATTCTAAAAAAATTTTAGATATATGAGTGTGTGGTGTTTCATAGAAATCCAAATTAAAGTAAAATGTATTTTTTGTATATAAAAAACTAAACGTTGTTGATGAATATCTAACATTTTATTGAATTTGTCCTTGATGTACATATTTTATTATTTGTGTTGTGTACAGTTGATATAAGTCTCTGGCATTAGTACCTCTGCTCTTCCGGTTTCTAGTCAAAGGTTAGATACAATTTTATGCTTGGAGCTCTATAAAGCATTTGGCTTTTGGCTCATCTGCTAATGTAATGTTCATTCTTTCAAAAGCATTTCAGTGAGGCAGTTTTTTGTTGTTTTTTGGTAGAATTTTAAATTACCATACAATACATTGTAATAGAGTTTAAATGATTTTTTAAAACTCCATTTCTCTAAAGCTGCATAAAGATTTCTATAATTAGAATCTCCTGCAACTTTGTAAAATTACCCTTGAGCAGAAAATCAGTGGAGTGTTCAAATTCATTAAAATCAAAGCTGACATCAAAATTTATTTCTGTACTTGGGTCTTCACATAAGTTGGTGTGCATTGACTTATCACACAAGGGTCATCTATTGATAAAGTGAATGCTCTCCCCTAAAAAAGGGTAGATAATTGATTAATTTGATGCAAACACTTTGTCCATATTTTTTAAATTACATTGTTTTTTTTTATGTACGAGTCATTTTTTCTCAATTTAGAACCATTTCTACCAGCTTAAATTGGTCAGAATTCTCTGAAGACGAAGCAGTTATCTCTAAATTTCTAAATAAAATAAATTAGCACTTGTAAAGACTTATATAAATAGTAGAAGGGGAGATAACTTCATTGTAAAAAAGAGACATGTGCGTTATTGTTGAATGCATAATCTGAAGATTTAGTAGAAGATATGGGCAATGTTAGTAGAAGTAATACTCATCTTAGGTTGACTTTCACATGGAACATTAGCTAGATACACTTTCAAAGTTTTTGATAGTAAAAAGCTTTTTAAAAGTTTTGATTGTTAGAATAGTTTTTAAAAAATTTTTGAAAGAAGCCTTTCTTTAAAAAAAAAAAGCCTAGATGCAATGAGATAAATATAAATTACCTTCAGTTGTTGTTTGTAAAAACATTTTTTGTTTTAGTAGCCAAGAGAATAGTTGATTTTATAGTTTTTGTTCATTTAAAAATTAAATTTACGTTTTTATGTTGTATTCAATTGATGGCCATGAATGAGTGTTTTCCTATTGGTAAGATCTCAAATTTTCATTCTCAAACAAGGTCTTGGAATATATATCTTATTTTGACCATAATAAAATGTTTGTCAATTAACTTGTACTAGACTTAGAGGCATTTTATTTTTATGCCTTGATCAGATTAATTCTACTTACCAGATGTAGTGCAAATTGAATTTGATTGAAACTGTCTTCTTTAAATTAAATAAAGATAGAAATATGTTTGGTGTTATTTTGAAAATTTTAAACAATTGTTTTTATGATTTAAAAGAAAAATTAAAAGCTGTAGCATTATTTTTATGGTTTTATAGTCTGGAGGTCAATATTTTAATTTCTAGAGGATGTCTTGTGTTATTAAATGTAAACACTGTACTGCTGCTATAGTGATGTAACACATTGCTAGCCTGGAAGGTTTGTTGTGATGTGTATGGTAGTATCTTCTAGAAGCAGTTGTGGTGTGTCAAAAGTGGGGGGGGGGGGGGGCTGCAGACTTCCCTGGGCGACACCATCCAAGGTGGTATCAACAAGGCACAAAGTGCTGAAAATTTGCCACAAAATAACATCATACTACAGATGGGGGACGCCACCCAGGCAAAAGTAGCTAATTGTACATTGAAAACCATTACATACACCATTAAGCATTTCATGACACCATCCACCAGAGAGATGGTGGGGGGGGGGGGGTGACACATTACCACACTAAAGGATACTTGTCCTAGTGGCACCACTGCCTAGAAGTTTGTTGTTTTGTAACTTGGTTAACTGTTGTTTTTTAACTTGAGCGTAGGGTCTTGGGAAATTGTTGATTTTTTTTTTCTGAGCTGCACATTTGTACTTTTTTTTTGGTGAGTTGTTTATGAAATTTGTTCCTGATATTAAACGTACCCAATACCACACTGTTCTTCACATGAAACCACCTTATGTATGATGTCAAGCTGATGATTTGTATAAAAAAGTATGTCAGACTAATGAGATGTGTGCTGTTGAATATTTGATGTCAATGTTAGAGGCTTTCAAGATATTTGATGTCAGTGTTTGATTTCAGTGACTGTCAATATATTTGACGTCAGTGACTGTCAAGATGTTTGACATCAACTGTCAAGATGTTTGACATCACTGACTGTCAAGATGTTTGACGTCAGTGACTGTCAATATATTTGACGTCAGTGATTGTCAAGATGTGATGTTTGGTGTCAGTGCCACTGACTGACACACTAAACTGTGATACCTCCTGTAAACCCTCCTACAATATATCCATATCTATTTAAATTGTGTTGTGACCTTTGAACTATCACATGACCCCATGTTTCCACATGCCCTACTGCTTGCATGTTTAAATTAAATTTCACCTGTAAATTAAAATTATTTTTAATAAACTTTCATATTTTATAAAAAAAATATTGTAAAAAACCCAATTCATGTACAGCCATTAGTTAATTTAGTTTGTTCGTCGTTGAAATTGTTACCTTTTGTTTTTAAAAGTTAAAACAGTTCAATTGTTTTTCTTTTTATTTATTTTTTTTTTTTTTTTGTTGTATCAGTTTATCTTGGACTTTGTCACACTTTTTAGGAATTGCAACTTACTTTGATTTTTAAAATGTTATTAAAAGTCTATTTTAAAGTGAACATGATTCTATCGAAAAGATCTACGCCTATGTAGTGCGTGAAATTATATTTTGGTTTGTGTTTATTGAAGTGAATAAAGGGAAACAACTGAGAATCATTGCAGCAAATTTTGTGATACAATTACAAGTTGACAAAGACAAACATGAAAATAGTTTCTTATTAAATAAAAAAATTTGATAAAAATTGTGTTCTAGTTTGTTTTATTGTTCTTTTTACTAGTAATAAAAATTTTAAAATGGAGAAATAGAAGTCATTAGTTTTTTAAAACCAGTTAGGCTATTCTTCATTGTGAATAGTCTTAATTTAGCTACCCATTACAATACGTGGTAATGTAGGCCTTCGTGTGTTTACATTTAAAGTTGTATGTGTGTGTTACCGGAAGTGTGAAAGCCTAAAATGCTAGCATGGTGAAGAATACGTGAACACCTAAAGCAAACAGGAGGCACAGAAAATGTCGAGTAACTTTTGTTTTCTTTGTTCGCTTGCTGCAAATGTTTACGAGAACTCTATCCAAGAGGAAATCAAGTTCACAACGATGTTGTAGACAGTGTTGTGGGTGCTGTTACTGTTTGCAAAAAGGGTATTATCTAGAAGCATACCCATCACTATCGTAACACATACTCATACGTTTAAAGACTTATCTTGAAGCATAACCATACAGCCGTATCATAAAACATACACAAAAGATTATAGACGTATCTTAAAATATACTCATAAGATTATAGACGTATTTTGAAGCATATGCATACACATAAGATTAGAAACCTATCTTGGGACCAATAACAACAGCGGGCCTGAATGGAGGTAACGTGTGTTATCTATCAAATCTCTTCTATACTGATTCAAAAACTAATTCTTTTCCTTGTACTTCATTACAAATATTTGCTAGTAGTTAATTTTATGTAACTATAGGATACACCATAGAGGTGTATGAATGTCGCTGATTGTTACGATTTGAGGTGCTATACAAACGTCGCTATTTGTTACGATTTGAGGTGCTATATAAACGTCGCTGTTTGTTACGATTTGAGGTGCTATATAAACGTCGCTGTTTGTTACGATTTGAGGTGCTATATAAACGTCGCTGTTTGTTACGATTTGAGGTGCTATACAAACGTCGCTGTTTGTTACGATTTGAGGTGCTATATAAACGTCGCTGTTTGTTACGATTTGAGGTGCTATATAAACGTCGCTGTTTGTTACGATTTGAGGTGCTATATAAACGTCGCTGTTTGTTACGATTTGATGTGCTAGGAACGTCGATGTTTGTTACGATTTGAGGTGCTATATAAACGTCGATGTTTGTTACGATTTGAGGTGCTATACAAACGTCGCTGTTTGTTACGATTTGAGGTGCTATATAAACGTCGCTGTTTGTTACGATTTGAGGTGCTATACAAACGTCGCTGTTTGTTACGATTTGAGGTGCTATACAAACGTCGCTGTTTGTTACGATTTGAGGTGCTATATAAACGTCGCTATTTGTTACGATTTGAGGTGCTATATAAACGTCGCTATTTGTTACGATTTGAGGTGCTATATAAACGTCGATGTTTGTTACGATTTGAGGTGCTATACAAACGTCGCTGTTTGTTACGATTTGAGGTGCTATATAAACGTCGCTGTTTGTTACGATTTGAGGTGCTATATAAACGTCGCTGTTTGTTACGATTTGAGGTGCTATATAAACGTCGCTGTTTGTTACGATTTGAGGTGCTATATAAACGTCGCTGTTTGTTACGATTTGAGGTGCTATATAAACGTCGCTGTTTGTTACGATTTGAGGTGCTATACAAACGTCGCTGTTTGTTACGATTTGAGGTGCTATATAAACGTCGCTGTTTGTTACGATTTGAGGTGCTATATAAACGTCGCTGTTTGTTACGATTTGAGGTGCTATACAAACGTCGCTGTTTGTTACGATTTGAGGTGCTATATAAACGTCGCTGTTTGTTACGATTTGAGGTGCTATATAAACGTCGCTGTTTGTTACGATTTGAGGTGCTATATAAACGTCGCTGTTTGTTACGATTTGAGGTGCTATATAAACGTCGCTATTTGTTACGATTTGAGGTGCTATATAAACGTCGCTGTTTGTTACGATTTGAGGTGCTATATAAACGTCGCTGTTTGTTACGATTTGAGGTGCTATACAAACGTCGCTGTTTGTTACGATTTGAGGTGCTATATAAACGTCGCTGTTTGTTACGATTTGAGGTGCTATATAAACGTCGCTGTTTGTTACGATTTGAGGTGCTATATAAACGTCGCTATTTGTTACGATTTGAGGTGCTATATAAACGTCGATGTTTGTTACGATTTGAGGTGCTAGGAACGTCGATGTTTGTTACGACGTGTGGCAGATGAAAATGACTTCGGCATACAGGGTGTGTTCAGCACTCTGCCCAGCCGCATTATGTTTTCTTAACGTGATTCGGGTACCCATCTGTGCTGGAAGGGCTA